ACATTAGTTCTAGAATATCTAGTTGACGCTTCATTTAGAAAGTTGAACCATCATTGCTCGGAAATACATTCCACTTTGTCGTATGGGCGGAGACTGGCCTGCTAACGTGCCTTCCTCATTGGTGGATCCCTGCTTTCAGGGCGGGAAAGGGAAGGGGCGTATGAAAGGGCAAGGTACAATGTTGGCTGTCTCCCCCATAGGACAAGCGTGGGATGCGTCTCCAACTGTTGGGTGAGATTTCGTTTCTCTTCTTCACAAACTCACTAAGTTACTAGAAAAACTTGACAACTTACCTCAGGTGGGAAGCACTTCTTTTCTTTCATATAATATGACAAAGCATAATTCCGATCGGCTGTAGCTCTTTCGGATAAGAACCTGAATTGTTCAATTTAGAGAAAGCGTGAAAATGTTAAAAGCACAATCCGCACCGGTGGTGTGGACGGGGACATCCCTCTATTGTGCGCTCCTCACTGACATATCGTTTCTTTGCGTCTAGAGAAAAGGGAGCGCAACAACGAGGAAGTAGCCAAGTGTCTCCACCCTATGACAAAGTGTACTATGCCTACGCCGCTATTGCTTATGAGAAACTAAAAAAGACGTTTCTAAACATCAAGGGGTGACAGGCACTTTTGGGCCACCCAAGGCTTTCTGAAATACTCGCTGGCTTTCGGGTCGCATCTGAAAGCGTATCGGGCCTGTACAGTCTTTTTCGCTGATGCTGGGGTGTCCAATGCGGTGTGAGTTTGGCGCGGCACCAGCCCGTTCTCCATCAATTGCAGAAGCGAGAGAGCGACAACAATTGGTGGGAAACGGGCTGACGTTGAGTTAAAACCAGACCCAATCACCCTCACGCGTTCAGCTTACTGCGAACATGCAGCGAACAAACTGTTCACTTAAAGGCACAGTTCGCGACCGCAAATTGCGGGAAACGGAACTCAAATAGGCACAAAAAAGTGCTAAGTATCTGATTAGCGGAGAAAAGCAGCAGAAAAAGCAGTCCGAAATGTTATAGAGAAAGATAACATAGTGGCTACTAGCTAGTAGCTAGCAGCCGGTGAGGGTCGGCAGAGCGGTTCAGCA